GATCTGTTCGTTGGAGGTCGTGCAAATAAACGGAAGCGTGAGTTACTGCTTGGGGCATCGGCGAAACGAATTTGAAGGGCAAGGCAGACCGTACCTGTCGAAAACGGAGGAACTCTTCTTCATTGGCATAGATGCAAGCTTGCAAGTCTCCAAACTCTGGCTTCATCAGCAGTTCCCAGGCCAAATTCACGCTGTTCTGTTCGGCCACACTCTTGTCGTTGTACTTGATTGCAAGAGGGCTCTTTTCTTTCACCAACACTGAGTTTGACACGCCTGGGTGATCACTGTGTTCAAATTGCAAGAAGAGAGAAACATCATCAGCTACGGCGCAGGTATTGAAGTCTTAATAAAGTAGAGCCAAGCTTCACTTACGCATCGTGGATGAGGGCACTGATGACACAAGCGAACTGAGTAAGAGGATCGCTTGTGATACCTGAAACACCAATGACGACGTAAGCATGTCAGTATAATAGGCACGAAGCAACAAAAGATTCCAGCATGGCCCTTTTAGCGTACCAAAAGTGTGGTCGTGGAGGTCTCAGCAACCCCAAGTGACCCTCCCTTGCGAACGCGCACTTCATGTGGGTTGATAATTCGAGAGAGAAGCTTGGTGACTGAAAAAGGGCACCAAAGAAGTGAGAGAAGGCTCAACACACAGAAGACGAATGTTTGCGGGGGCTACATACCTGACATTGTGACGTGCGACGCGTGCTCTGTTGGAGGAAATGATGGAAAGCAACATGTGAGGCGGGGGGCCACTTCTCAAATAGCGCATAGACGAGCTGAGAAGAGCACTCACCGAAGCTGTGAAAGTCATTATTTCTGTAGAGCCTTGCGACCTTTCTGACAAATAGGGCAAGCTGGTCCTGGACTTCGGTCGATAGTTGGACGGTAGCAGGGTCGACATAGTTTCGGTAGTTCTTGGAGTCAAACTGAGGGAGATTCACTACATCAACGACCTCGTCCAGCATGGGACCTTTCTTGTTGTTAACGTTGGTTTTCTCTGGCTTGGCTGGCAATTTCGGAGGGTTGGCCTTCCTACGGGCCATAATCTGTTTGAGAACCTTGCTCAAGATGTCAACGTTCCAACTCACCAAACGATTGAGCTTGGCCTCTTCCACTTCTTGCTGCTTCGATGGGTCCATGGATGGAGCCAAGTTCCCAACAAGACCAGCCACCGCATCGTCGCCTCCAAACTCGCTCATCGCCGTCCCCATGGAGCTGGCACCACTTGATGACTCGGCAAAGATCCTCAGCCAGTAAGTTTGCATCACCCCTACAAGTAATGTGATTGAGTGTGAGTCAATCGAAAGCAAGGGGACAGGACAAGCGGCGACGCAGTACTAACCTTTACCCTTCACTTGGGCTCTTTCTGTTCGTGGACTTAGCCATTTTCCTTTGCCGGCAGCCTTGATAAGTGCTGCTGTGTCCGCAGAAACTTGGATTCTGTTTTTCTCTCCGGTGCTTTCCATTCTCGAGGCCATGTTCATGGTATCTCCAAAGAGCTGGAAGCGCCCCTTTTCTCCGCGCTGGTAGCCAGAGCAATGACAAGGTTAGCAGATGCGACGTCGAGGGTTTGACTGGCACATGCAAATCAGAGTGGAAACTTACAAGCACTCCTGCTGTCACTGGACCGGAATTCAATCCAATACGCATGCGAAGATCTGCCGTATCGGGGCCAAAGGTACTTTCCAAGTCGTGACAAAGCTCACTCATCTTTTCAAGGCAGTCATGAGCAAATCGTGCCATAACAGTTGCATGATCCTTTCGAGGCATGGGCAGCCCAGCAACTGCGACGTAGCAATCACCGATTGTCTCGACTTTGAACACCCGCCTGCGCTTCGCAATAGAATCAAAGGAGTAGTAGATGGTCTCCAGCAGCGTGAACACTTGCGAGGGCTCTCGAGCACTTGACCATGCAGTGAAGCCAACCATGTCTCCGAACATGATAGTCGTGGCAGGAAAGAGATCCGCAATTGGTTTGCTGCCGAAAATGGTTTCGCTGGTAGCCACACCGCTCTCATCCACAGCAGCGAGGGCATTGTTGCCGGCCATCAGTCGGCTGCCAGTGTTCAAAAACGCATTCTTGGCCTTCTCTTCGGGTGCTGGAGCAAGTTCTTCCATGAGACGCGACCTCACATTGCTGGGGAATAGACTTGTAACAATAGCATTGGTCTTGGTTGCAGTTTCCATCACCTTCTTTTGACGACGCTGAACGAGAATGTCGTAGATGATAAAGACCAGCGTCGTGAGGGCGAAGCATCCCACAACAGCAAATGCATAGGCGTATGGTTGCGCCGTGAAGAAGTCGCTTTGCCACTCTTCGGAGGGGTAGATGCGAGCCGAGTACTGGCAGAAGAGTTGCTGATCAGTCTCATTCTTGAGCATAGCAAAGGGCGCAAACTCAAAGACTCGTTTCATGTCTTCAAACTGTCGGTCATGCATATCGCTCGCGTTGAGAAAAATAGCCTCTTTTCCGTCAAGTCGATACGAGTACCGTTGCGCGCCACAAGTACCATCAATGACAAGAAGAATACCGCTCTCGGACTCGGGAAGCACATTGATGAAGAAGTTTTCCCACCTGCAAAGGGACAAATCACAACAGGCGCAAGTTAGATTATAGCCAGGGATGCTGGAACGAAGATCGTCATTAGATGATGAGACGAACAAGCGACTTACTGAAGAAAGGCACTCAAAACGGCCACAATGGAGCGGTTTTGAACGTGAGAATCATAGATGGGAACGTAAAGGTAGCTGTGAGGAGCGCGAGCGCGTTCCAGGTACTCGAAGCGATCATCGTAGTTGAGGGAAAGGTAGTTGGCATCCGACACTCGAGTCAGGACAGGCTGGTCGTAGCGGATCATACCCTTCATGAAACGCTCGAATCCTCTAACGTGCCCCCAATTGACGTTGACGGTAGGGTTGAAGTCCTCCACTGGGGCTCTCTGCCAGGAGGGGTAATAAAAGTCCGTGTCCCAGTCCCTTACAGGGTTCCAACCACGGTCGGTGATTTCGTAGGAAGTGATGTTGGGGAAGATACCAGATTCATTCCAGTGAACCCTGGGGATTCTGGACATGGACTCGGGCATGGTCTGGTTCAACTTTTCGTGGACATAGAGCTTCTTGCTTGCATACTTGTCATAGTCGTGACCCGCCTTGAACCAGGGCTCGTAGTTGGCGACAGAGAAAGCTTCCCAGTCCGCACGGATCTCGTGGGGCACAATGGGGTTGATGTTCACCACACTGGCACCGGTGATTTCGTTCGACATCATGCCTTGGATTTGAAAGTTGGGGAACACCACAAAGGGCCACTGCAGAGCAGGGAAGGAAACAAGCAAGAGGTTAGGTCAGGGCATAGCTTAGGGATTGCTGAGCCAGCAAGCTGCAAGCCACCTTCACTTATAAGTAAGTGCATGGTTCAAGCACACGTACCGTCATGTTCAAGTCCATGGCTTCCGTGGTCAAACTGGCTGCAAGACTTTCGAGGTTATCGAAGATGGTACGCGCACGTAGCTGGGAGGTGGAGATGATTTCATTGACCACGTTCTCGTACTGCTTCTCGTAGTCTTTCTGCTCCTGACCTCGGACAAACATATAAGTGAGCCCCCCGATGGTGGCAGCCACCACGATGATGACTCCCATCACCAGGAACTTGGAGTACATCACCATCTGATCCTCTCTCTTGGCAATCTCCTCGGGACCGCTCGAGCTACGCTTGTCTGAGGAGGATGGCTGCTCGTCCGTGGACACTGCCGACTCTTCGTCATCATTGGACTCTTCAGGCACTACGTCCATGATGGCGGTGTCTTCAGCGGAGAGTTGAGAGATCGATTTGGTCGTCATATTCGAATGATATGGCTGATGCGGTTTGGTTTTTGGGTTGAAACTGGAGGTGATCTAAAAGTTTTTCGTTTTTGGCTTTTGGCGCAACTTGTGAGACAAAGCTTCGGTGGTCGATTGATTAGGCCGATATACCCTTACTGGTATAACCTTGGGATGACCTATGCGCACTCCTACCAGGATGTCCAAGGTCCAAGAACCTCGATGGCTCGGTGGAACTGTGCTGGCGAAACCGGAATTACTGAGCACTTGTGCGAAGTTTGCCCGGTCCACCGGTACAACAACGCAACAACCCGGGATCCTGGGCTCCTGAGCTCGTTTTATTGACAAGATACTAATTCCTGTGTAGCAGGGCATAGCACATTCCCACAATTTACTTGAGAATGCCACCGAGCTACATGTAATGTTCAGTAGCCGTAACTTGCAGCAACCGGTATTGGACGTCCCGTCCGTCCAAGCTTCTTTACGTTCAGAGACAGCTTCGTGTACAACTGACATTTGAGAAGTAATAAGTGCAGAGCATGTGTTATCGACTGAGCTGGGATGGGGTGAACTTTCTGAGCCACTTCCCTATTTCTTTCGTTTTGCAAAGGGATCACGGAACACGAGTAAGGTAAAGCGAAGCTCCCTAATTCCAGCCGTAACAATGACTAGAGAAAGAACATTCCTATTTCCTAGAAGTGACTGCAATGACAACTGATAGCTCAACTAATTGCATTGTTGATCTAAGTGCCGTAGCTGAGCCGGTCATCTCGGACAGAAAGTTACCGAAACTGCCCATGTACTTGGTGAGCTCTTGGTGAGATACATGACTGCATAGAAAGTAAGTAAGTAGAAAGACGAAGACTCCTGTCAGCTCTCCTGTCCTTCATTCGGGAGAGCTGGTGGAGTGTGTGAGGTCAGAAAGTTGAAGATAATAATGCCAATTGCCACACGAAGGGAACGGAAGAAGAAGTGAAGAACATGTTCAATGGTCACTGCAGCCTTCGGTGAGCAATGACATTGTGGTCTCACAAGCTTCCCAACGCAAGAAAAGACGACGCTAGGCAGCTACGATGTTCCGTACTGTACATGTACTGGAGTACATCAAGCATAATGCATAATGTAGATTGAATCTGCAGGTGAACGTTTTGGAGCGTTCTATTCATTTATTTCATCTCAGAATAAATGCTTTTCAGAAACCGGCTGCACCACCAAGACTTAGTTCTGCACCGAACAGTCAACACCCGACTACTGGTACCAGCTGGGTAAACCCCTAAGAATTGGAAAAGATGATAATGGCAGCTACGATGGCCAAAATTTTTGTGGAAAAGGGAAAAGGAAAAAAGGATGTTTGTACCTATCATAGTAGCTAGCTTTTGTAACTCCCAATTCTCCAACACTTCTAAAGGTCACACTCTTAATTAAGTGAATCAGAAATTCTCTTGTAAAAGCCAATTAATAGCCCACCTGCTGAATTGCAGAAGCCTTCTGGATTTGCTTCTGCATCTCTATATCTCTATCTATTTTCAGGGGGATAATGCAAGAATCTGATAACATACAATTTTATAATTTGAACATAATACATAACGAGTCCCCATCCGCAACGGTTCGCACTATTTTCAAGCTACTTTAGTGTATTAAGTTCGCACACAGTTGTAATAATACATAATACCTTATCCAGTCATCATTCTCGGAATTGAGTCACTTACTTCTGAAAGCTTGAGAGACCTGCTGGACTGCTGGAGCCGGGAGCCAGGAGGTTATTAAGAAGCCTTTTAAAGTTTCATCAACTTGATCAGAAAGTTGCTGAACCCTGCTTCCGCACCAGTTAAGGGCATGCGGTTGGGTCATAGTTGGGAAATTGGCAAAGGCAAGAAATAAATACATGCATTTTGGCTACGAATTTATTTTAAAAACCATCCTTCTGGAGGGTGGAGGTGCGCTGCCTGCCAGAACCGGAACTGTACGATTTTTTATGTTACCATGGTGTTTGGGCTTCCGCTAGCCAAAAAGAGCACTCCACGGCTACCAAAGGACATCTCCTCAGTTCGTAGCCATTAAAACAACCTAATTGATACTGCACCTACCCCTTGGCCAGCTACTAGTCACATCACAACACCCAACCACCAGAGCTCTACTACCAGCTACGGTAGCAGCAGCGTACCAGAGCAGGCAAGTGCCTTCAACATTTAACCACGCGTTGTGATGTACATGTACATGGCATTGTACAGCCGTATGTGTGGGGAGTGCGTAGTGCGTAGTGCGTGTGCTGGCTCTGTGATGCATGTTGTACATGTATGTTGCTAGTGTTTTGGGATGGAGTTTCGGTGGGAACCAAAAAGAGCACTCCGTGGCTACTGAGTGACATCTCCTCGATACGACCATTATTCACAACCTAATTGGGAATGCACCCGCTACTAGATGGCTAGCCAGCCACAGCAGCGGACAATAGCCACAAAGCCACACCAGGCACAGGCAGATACTGGTTACTACTTGAGTATCGAGCTTTGGTGAATTGCCATTGCAGGCAGCGAACCCCTGGAACCACTAAGCCTCGGCCAAATTCCCGTATCAAAAACGCACCTCCTCCAATGCTTCTTTCCTCATAAGAGGGGTGTACAGGACGACCGAGGTTGCGCGCGGTTAGATTACGGCGGTTTGGGGTTGGGGTTAACCTAATTAACGGGTTTAGAGAGTTGGGTCGACTTTTCATGGATTAAATTAGCTGGCGGGTTTGGTCTCTGGTGTTCCGTGTGAAATTGCACAACTCTCTAGCGGTGTGGTTTCTGATTGGTTGGATATGTGCTTACCAGTGACACTACCTGGTAAGACTACTTTGCGACGCCAAGACCAGAAGTGCTTGGTGCGGTGGTTCTATCAGTGAATTTGTTACCTGTTACCACTTACTTGCTGGGTTGCGGTGAGCGAGTACACCGGGACTAGAAAGAGATAAAAGGGGAATCTTTAATTAAAGTTTGGCCCGTGTTAGCTGTTACTATACTAAAGGAGTAGAGGGGCCATGGGTCCGAGGTGACGTAATAATGGGATTTGTCACCTCGGGCCCATCTATTTTATTAAGGATAGAGATGTTTGATCATGGAAGCGTGATGTTTGTGGATATACACGCTTATGGTTAGGGGTTTTAGTTTATCGTTAGGGTTACTCTACAGTTACTGATGAGGGGGATAGGGTTACCCCAAGGCGGTCAGCTAGTCTGTATCTTGTGTTCTTTAGATTCTTGGTGTGGAGTAGATCGCAGTTTGTCATGGCTATTAGCATGCTACCTTGGATTGATGGGGGTTGGTCTAGATCCATGTTAGTGTCTTCTTGATGTTGAACGGTGTACATTGGGAACCAAGTGGGCACGTTTACTTCCTCATCTTCATGGATTAGACAACAAAGGATTAGGGAACCATGTGCATGGTTGTAACTGATAAACCCTTCAGTTACAAACTTCCGTTTCATGAACTCCATCATGGTGATGTAATCTGGTAGGCTGATAATGTTGGAGGTGACTATCCACATTTTTTTACGATGGGTGGTGTTATGAAGATTGAAGATTTTGCTTTTGAGATTAAGGAGGAGGGCAAGGGGGACAATGGCGGAGCTGCCAGTGAGCTCCCGTCAGCTCCTGCTTCTAAGGTGGTTGAGGATGCGCCAAGTCTTCCATCTGCTCCTACTCCTAAGGTGGTTGAGGATGCGCCAAGTCTTAGTACTGCTAGCGTTCCTATGGATGTAGGGGAGATGCAGGCGTATATGCAGAACTACTATGGGACTCCTGTTGCTTTAAGGCTTAAGGGTTCTATCACTATAGTATGTCCTTACTGCGATGAGACACATAGACATGTTGATCCTGGTCATCACGTTGCTGAGTGTGATGAGCGTATACGATCTAACGTGGGGCTTAATATCAAGAGCCGGTCTTTCAACCCTAATTATGGGTACACTGTCATTGAATACGTAGAACGGGGCGGAGTTAATGTTGTCTTGGACTAAAAGGGTAGTGTTAATAAAGTGGTTGTTCTTGATTCTCGGAGTTTCTTGCGTTCATCGGGGTCTAGGTCGTAAACATCTTGTAGAGAGAAGGACATTCGGTTGTCACCTGTTTTTCGAGGTTCTGTGGATTTAGGAGGGGCAGGGGGCATCGTTTGGAGTATTATGTGACATTGGTTATTTGACAGCTTTTTGAAGATCGTTCTCTTGAGGTGGTGGGAGGGTTGCTCTGCGTTTCAATCGCCAGGTTTCTACACAGGGATTGGGGTTGGGGGGTTGGGGTGTGGTCGGGTGGGAAGGGGTTTGAATGGGGTGGTTCCAAAAATGTGATTGGCTTTCGATATTGGAGAAGCTTCCGGGGGTTTGGAAATGAACATATAGGGAACTGTCATATGTATCACTTTGAAGCGGCGTTTGATTGCTGCTGCCATTACGGGATCGTCCTTCCATAGACTATCGATGGAGTAGTTGCTTGTTATGATGAAGGTTGTGTGGGAGAGTTTCACCATACCGCCTTTAATTTCACCTGTGCAGGCGTACTTGTCAGCCCAAATCTTCAAATAATGGCCTAGAAAGTTTCCGTCCATATCGTCTAAGAGGACGTGTGATTCACTGGCATATCCATCCCACCATTTGCTTTGGGGTTTAATGTATAGTGATTCAGGACATAGACTGCGGGCTGTATGGGATTTACCTGTACCAGGAGGTCCCCAGTAGTACACTCCACGGGCTGTTTCATGTTCATAGGGTTTAGTGTTCAAGGCTTGGAGGTTTGCAAGACCTCGGTAATTACGGACATATGATGCTGGGTGAATCTTAGATACTTCTAACAAGGATTTGCCTTCTTCAACTGCTTCGCATAGGAGGTCTAGGTCGACACGTTTTCCCGGTGAGGGGATACTACCAAATTCTTCTCCTTTGAAGTTAAGGCCGTGGTTGGGGCCAGATTCTTTAAGTGAGTTCCATTCTTCTTTGGTTTGTTGGCCTTTCTTACAATAGGTGGCGGCTTGGAAAGACGTGCCCGAAGCAACCAAAAGAGCAATGGACTTGGTTCCTAGAGCTTTATGGACAGCTGGCATGGACAGCTTTGTCTTCAACGTGAAGAATCCTTGGAGGTGGGGGGTGCCTTGTTCTCCTACTTCTTTGCCGTATACTAAGTATTTGCAATAATTTGCATAGAAGTCCCTTAAAAGCTCAATGTCATTGTCAGTATAATTGTTCAATGTAAAGCAAGCAGTATCGGGTTGATTGTTTTGTCATCTTGGAGGGAGAAAATAGAAATAGAAAAGGTAGCGATGGAGCGGGTTTGTTTGTCAGAATTTACGCGTGCCCATACATCGGGCCGTCTACTGCTGGCTGGCTACAACTACTGCTGGCTACAACTACTGTTGGTTGGCTACGACTACTGCTACGCTACAACTACTGCTGGCTGGCTACGACTACTGCTACGCTACAACTACTGCTGGCTGGCTACAACTACTGCTACAGTAGGCTACAAGTACAATGGCTATGGCTACAACTACTGCTGCTGGGTTAATTGCTAGCTAGGTTAAATATTAAAAAAAAATAGCTACAACTACTGCTACTGCTGGGTTAATAAAAAATATTTAAAAAAGGGCTAAAAAAAAACTTAAGGCTAAAAAAACTGAGTTTGAGGCCCGCTCAAGCGCCGCGGAGGCTCAATCTGGGGAGAAAAAATAGAAAAAATAGAAATAATAGAAATAGAACAGGTTGGGCAGGTAATATAGGCTGCCTAACTTGTTCTACTTTTCACACGGGACTGACAAGAGGGACCCAGGATGCAATCGGGTAGAATTCCATTGCGTCAACGAGCGTTGTTGAGGGTTCCTCGAAAACTACAACAAATTCTTTACCATTGATTTGTTGGCATGTAGATATTTCAACGTCGAAGTCTTTTATGACTTTCTTGAACGCGGCTACATGCCCATGGTCGAGTTTAACGTGAAAGGAGGGGGTGCAGGGCATGTTTTTTTTGTTGGCTTGGTTTGTGAGCGTGGGATTGCTTTGGTGGCGGTGGAAATGGAACTGGGAACGAGCCGGGCGAGCCAGGAAGAAGAACGAGTCGGCGGGACGGAGCGTGGTAACTCGAAACTTTCTAACGTGGAGTAGGCACCCACGCTTGCGTTTCAGCGTGGGATAGGATGTACTTCGGTTTTTCCTCGTACCCCCTCTCGGTGAAACATCCGTCGAATCCGCTAGGAAGCCCCAGGAACCTCCGAATCTGCATGGCCCACGTTATTCCTGTTTAGTCGTGTGAAATACCCATTGAATCGGCAAACACGTCTACCACCACTCACAAAACCAAGCCCACCAAAAAAAATTATCAAAAAAACAACATGCCGTGCACACCCTCCTTTCGCGTTAAACTCGACCATGGGCATGTAGCCGCGTTCAAGAAAGTCATGAAAGACTTCGACGTTGAAATATCTACATGCCAACAAATCAATGGTAAAGAATTTGTTGTAGTTTTTGAGGAACCCTCAACAACGCTCGTTGACGCAATGGAATTCTACCCGATTGCATCCTGGGTCCCCCTTGTCAGTCCCGTGTAAAAAGTAGAACAAGTTGGCAGCCTATATTACCTGCCCAACCTGTTCTATTTCTATTCTCTCTCTCTCAGATTGAGCCTCCGCGGCGCTTGAGCGGGGCTCCTCAAACTCAGTCCTTTTTTCAATCCTTTTTCTTTTTTAGTCCTAAGTTTTTTTTAGCTCTTTTTTAAATATTTTTATTGAATCAACCTAGCAGTAGCAGTAGCAGTAGTTGTAGCTATTTTTTTAATATTTAAACCTAGCAATTAACCTAGCAGCAGTAGCAGTAGTTGTAGCCAACGTAGCAGTAGTTGTAGCCAGCCAGCAGTAGTTGTAGCCAGCCAGCAGTAGCTACGTAGCAGTAGTTGTAGCCAGCCAGCAGTAGTTGTAGCCAGCCAGCAGTAGCTAACGTAGCAGTAGTTGTAGCCAGCAGTAGCTACGTAGCAGTAGTTGTAGCCAGCCAGCAGTAGTTGTAGCCAGCCAGCAGTAGTTGTAGCCAGCCAGCAGTGAACGGCCCCGTGTACGGGCACGCGTAAATTCTGACAAATAAACCTCCACCGCTACCTGTTCTAGTTCTATTTTTCTCTCTTCAAGATGACAAAACATCAACCCGATACTGCTTTACATTGAACAATTACACTGACAATGACATTGAGCTTTTAAGGGACTTCTATGCAAATTATTGCAAATACCTAGTATACGGCAAAGAAGTAGGAGAACAAGGCACCCCCACCTCCAAGGATTCTTCACGTTGAAGACAAAGCTGTCAATGCCAGCTGTTCATAAAGCTCTAGGAACCAAGTCCATTGCTCTTTGGTTGCTTCGGGCACGTCTTTCCAAGCCGCCACCTATTGTAAAAAGGCCAACAAACCAAAGAAGAATGGAACTCACTTAAAGACTCTGGCCCCAACCACGGCCTTAACTTCAAAGGAGAAGAATTTGGTAGTATCCCCTCACCGGGAAAACGTGTCGACCTAGACCTTCTGTGCGAAGCAGTTGAAGAAGGCAAATCCTTGTTAGAAGTATCTAAGATTCACCCAGCGTCATATGTCCGTAATTACCGAGGTCTGGCAAACCTCCAAGCCTTGAACACTAAACCCTATGAACATGAAACAGTCCGTGGAGTGTACTACTGGGGACCTCCTGGTACAGGTAAATCCCATACAGCCCGCAGTCTATGTCCTAATCACTATACATTAAACCCCAAAGCAAATGGTGGGATGGATATGCCAGTGAATCACACGTCCTCTTAGACGATATGGACGGAAACTTTCTAGGCCATTATTTGAAGATTTAGGCTGACAAGTACGCCTGCACAGGTGAAATTAAAGGCGGTATGGTGAAACTCTCCCACACAACCTTCATCATAACAAGCAACTACTCCATCGATAGTCTATGGAAGGACGATCCCGTAATGGCAGCAGCAATCAAACGCCGCTTCAAAGTGATACATATGACAGTTCCCTATATGTTCATTTCCAAACCCCCGGAAGCTTCTCCAATATCGAAAGCCAATCACATTTTTGGAACCACCCCATTCAAACCCCTTCCCACCCGACCACACCCCAACCCCAATCCCTGTGTAGAAACCTGGCGATTGAAACGCAGAGCAACCCTCCCACCACAAGACCCTCAAGAGAACGATCTTCAGAAAGCTGTCAAATAACCAATGTCACATAATACTCCAAACGATGCCCCCTGCCCCTCCTAAATCCACAGAACCCCGAAAAACAGGTGACAACCGAATGTCCTTCTCTCTACAAGATGTTTACGACCTAGACCCCGATGAACGCAAGAAACTCCGAGAATCAAGAACAACCACTTTATTAACACTACCCTTTTAGTCCAAGACAACATTAACTCCGCCCCGTTCCACGTATTCAATGACAGTGTACCCATAATTAGGGTTGAAAGACCGGCTCTTGATATAAGCCCCACGTTAGATCGTATACGCTCATCACACTCAGCAACGTGATGACCAGGATCAACATGTCTATGTGTCTCATCGCAGTAAGGACATACTACAGTGATAGAACCCTTAAGTCTTAAAGCAACAGGAGTCCCATAGTAGTTCTGCATATACGCCTGCATCTCCTCTACATCCATAGGAACGCTAGCAGTACTAAGACTTGGCGCATCCTCAACCACCTTAGGAGTAGGAGCAGATGGAAGACTTGGCGCATCCTCAACCACCTTAGAAGCAGGAGCTGACGGGAGCTCACTGGCAGCTCCGCCATTGTCCCCCTTGCCCTCCTCCTTAATCTCAAAAGCAAAATCTTCAATCTTCATAACACCACCCATCGTAAAAAAATGTGGATAGTCACCTCCAACATTATCAGCCTACCAGATTACATCACCATGATGGAGTTCATGAAACGGAAGTTTGTAACTGAAGGGTTTATCAGTTACAACCATGCACATGGTTCCCTAATCCTTTGTTGTCTAATCCATGAAGATGAGGAAGTAAACGTGCCCACTTGGTTCACAATGTACGCCGTTCAACATCAAGATGACACTAACATGGATCTAGACCAACCCCCATCAATCCAAGGTAGCATGCTAATAGCCATGACAAACTGTGATTTACTCCACACCAAGAACTCTAAGGAACACAGATCTAGACTAGCAGATCGCCTCGGGATAACCCTATCCCCCTCATCCGTAACTGTGGAGTAACCCCTAACCTAATGACAAATCGAATCCCGACTAGTGACTACGTATAACATCTTAATCTTATTTCCAAGGTCAACCATCTTATCAAGTTTCTTAAAACCAAGGCATCCACGTATGACAAATCGAATCCCGACTAGTGACTAACGTAAGCGTGCATCCACAACATCACGCTTCACGATCAAGTAGCACGATCCCCTTAAGTCTTCGGTACCCCACGTAAGCATGACCCGAACCAAGACCTTGACACTTGAAGTTGAATCCGAATCAAAATCCACCAATCAAAAACCCCACCGCTAGAGAGTAATGCAATTTCATACAGAACATCAGAACTCCGTACGTATACCCCTTTCAGCTAATTTAATCCATGAAGTTAGTCCGACTCTCTAAACCCGTTAAGTAGGTTAACCCCACCCCCAACCACTATGGACTAATCGATGACTGAACCCCATTCAACAACAACCAACCTTTTCGCATCCTATGCACCCCCAAACAAGAGGAAAATCTTTCACAACACCCACAAATACACAGAGCATGCAGTTCGCGCCATAATAAAAAAATCAATCAACAGTTGTAAAGCTTAAACGGTCATTAGCTAGCCCGCGTAAAATGCTTAAATAACAGATGATGCATCCTCTTCAGGCAGTTAGCGCAGTTCTGACACCACTCCCCAGCAGGCTCATCCCAACCACTCGTTATCTTGAGTTCCCAAAATCGGACTTCAACTTCCAAGCTGCTCAGGAGAGTCACCATGAATGTGCCTCCAAACCTCCCTCCGAACTCGTCTCATGTGCATCGCCGCCTCATTTTTCTCTCCATTTTTCCATCCTAATGACAATCTAAACACCACACCAACATCATGGCACCCGAAGCACCCGAATCGAAAAGTCCCCTCGCTAAAGTCTCAGTTAACTTTTACGCTACGTCCTTGAAGTCATGCCAGGCGAAGCATAACACCACCGCCTCAAAGATCCAGACCTACCTTGATCGTCTACAGGATCAACTTGGCCTTCCAAAGTATTAAA